GAAAGTAACTACAGATGAAACGAGTTGCATACAATTACCGACCGATTTCTGCACAATCATTGATTCGCAAGATGCTCTCATCGACCAGATATTTCCCAATGTACACAGATAATATACAAATCATGAGTGGCTGGCAAAAAGAGCAATTTTAGCAGGAAAAAATGTGAACGTCAACGAAATGAATCTCAAAATACAACATTTGTTACCAGGAGACTTGGTATCATACAAATTTATTGATATAGTTTGCGATGCTACTGAAGCTGTAAATTATTCAACAGAGTTTTTATATCATTGGATTTAGCAGGCATGCCGTTGCATAATTTATAACTGAAGGTTGGATCTCCAGTTATTTTGCTTCGTAATTTGAACCCACAATGGTTGTGCAGTAGTACCCGATTAATCATTAAAAAATTAATGAAAAATGTTATCGTAGCCATAATTTTAAATGACAAATTCCGAAGTGAAAATATATTATTACCGCGAATCCCTATTATACCCACAGATGTGCCAATACAATTTAAACGCCTTCAATTTCCAATTAGATTGGCATTTGCAATGACTATTAATAAGTCTCAAGACCAAACGATAACTGTCTGTGGCTTAGATTTGAGCACGTCATGTTTTTCACACGGACAATTATAGGTGGCGTGCTCTCGAACCATCCAGTTTATTTGTATTGGTGAAAGATGGGATCACAAAAAATATTGTTCACTCTGTTGCATTAAAGAATTTATATTGGTTTTTACTAATATTATCATAATTAGCGATATATATAATTTTAAAGGATCAATTTTAATAAATTATTAAAAAAATAAATGTTTGATGTTTTTTCATTTTTATATTTCGTCACCGATCACATCATTCCATACCTCTTTCACTTATATACCACATCCAAACACACCTATATTAAATTACTTATTTTTTTCTAGCAAAATATTCTCTAGAAATAATTTATATGACAAACAACGTTTGTACCTTTGTACGTTTATAAACAGTGTTTATATTTGTGTACAAATGTATTTGCATAACTGTTATGTTTGCGAAACATATATTTATATATATATATATTACTATTATTATTACAAATAGTTAGTGTAACAAGACATTTTCCGACTCTCTTCAGTTTGATATACTCGTAATATAGCGTAAAGTTTGTGTATAAACGATACTAATATAATGCGATATTTCCTGCGCACTGCTATGATATGAATCGGTGTACTGCCGTGTTTACATATTAATGTATGCACACGCATTACTATACTATACAACTATGTCTTGCTATTCGCAAAAATGCTAAGGTTTTCGCAGTACACAGTGTTAGTTATACGAAGTGTCAGTTCGGGTTTCTGTCTTGTCAATCTTTACGCTCGTGAGTAAAAATTTACTTTTGAAAGTTATTAAACCTCTGTCGACGTCCTTTGATTTGTTGGCAGAAATGATACATTGTGTCCAAAAGTTCATGTGTGGTCAGGTTAGGTTAGTTATTCTCGGTTTAATTTCAAATAGTGCGTTCACTGCTGGTAGGTAATTATAAATATGTTTTTATCGAAACTATTTTTTTAACATTAAAATATAAACATACGCAATTCCTACTATTCGTTCTTATACATAGGTAAATATTTTAATCATGATACTTACCAATATAAGCTTACTTTTTATAAATGTCGAATGTTATAATGATATTCTAATAGTATTATACAAGACTGGGCATTAACGAGCTTAAAGTTAAAATTATTATAAGTTAATACGTTGATATCAACTAAATTAATTATTCGTTACTATATTTTGCAACTAACTTTTAATTTAATAAGTTACTTTTTGAACGTGTTAACTTCAAGTTAATTTTATATAAAAGTAACAAAATTAAGTTTAATTTTTACACAAACCACTTATCCATATAATTTTGTTTTGCTTTACTGAAATTTTACTGTACATTTTTAACATGGAAATATAAACAAAAAAGTTAATATAGGGTGGAACATGGTTATACATTTGTAAGTTAATTATATGAATTATTCTATCTATTTTTTTTTTATAAAATATAGTTAATTTAAAATATAGTTAAATAGTTAATATAGTTTATTTTTTAATGTAGGTTTAAAATAAGAACTATAAGTCTCTATTTCATAGTAAACTAGCCAGGGAAGCAAAAGGTCCATTGAATTCTGGGCCCTGAATAGTACCATATTAATAAAAATGATGTACACTCCTATAAACAATTTCGTATCAAAATATAATGGTAAAACGTTTTTTATTTACTATTAGAATATATAAAATTGAAATGAAATGAAAACTATTAACTAAAAATACTTATTAGTTGAAATATGATAATAATAGTTCAAGTTGATCAACCTCATAGGCGGAAATCAGATGGGGGGCTTGAGGGGACTAAGCTCCCCAGAAATGTAAAGTACAGGTCTCAGCCCCCCTAGTCCTAAAAATTGTTAAGTGACTAAAAATACAATAATTATTATAATTGTAAAAGGCATTTTTAATTACTGAATTAAAATAAAATATTCTGTGATATAAATTAAATCAAATTCGTAAGATTTTACAAACTTATTGTCATGACTTGGAACGATCGTAATTAATGTAATATTAATAATATGTAATAATACCTGAATTGGTTGTTTAATTTGATTAATTAATAATTTCTGTTTAGAATACTTACTCCAAAAACGTTTAAGATAAGGCACCTAATTATTTTTTTGGTTTAATTGTTGAGTATGTCAAATTGTCAAATTTTGTAAATTGTCTTGTTGAAATAAATAATTGCGTACAGGGGTACCTATAGGTGTAATAAGCAAATAATGCTCAGTCCCCCCACTAATTTCACCAAATTTCCGCTTATGATTAACCTTCTGGGCCTTCGATACTTAGTACAACCATGCTCTATTTAATATTTTTATATAATAATTCGTAGCCATAAATCATAACCCAGAAAATACCTATTAAGTACTGTTGTGAAACAAAAATAAGTGCAATAGGTTGTATAATATCAGTAAGGACCTAAAACAACGAATATAATTTAGGTTTTTAGTGAAAAGTTATGCTTTCTGTATATCATTCCATAACGAAAAATTATGAAATAATTTTTTCTATAAAAAAAAATAAATTAGAAGTAAAACTTATTTTCGAAACTAATAAAAACAAATGTTCATATTACTTATATAACTGTACTTAACTCTGCTGTTTTCATCCAAATGTGATAGAATGTTTATTTCATTAATTCAGTGCTCATTATAATAATTGTGACTTGACGTACGAAGCGAAAGGAGGACAATCTGAAAAGTGACCTAGAGGCGTTCTAATTGTTGAATTTTACGAACAATTTTCCAAATACGTCAAATAAATTTAATTTACCTTTCATACTTATTGAAAGTTTAATACAGAAAAAAATGAATGTAAATATTGTATATCTATGACAAATGTATATTAACAGTGAATCCGGTCAGACGCGGATCCAGAGTAATTATTAAGGGGGGGGGAATTTTATATTGTGGACATAATATAATATATAAAATTCAATAATTCTATAGTATTATAAGTATTACCGTTTATCATAAATATTTCTCAACACTGTGAAAGTATAAACTTTCAACAAAAAGTTTAAAAAAAAATAGGTAGATACATTGAAAAGAAAACTTTTCATTTAAGAACAATAAAAAAATATTAAGTATGAAATTAAATTAAAAACTATAGAGCGAAATCTAATATTCTTTTGGTTTTTTAAAACATGTCAACACATAGTTGCTGCGGAAAAAATATGATTTTTTATCATTGTTAGACATAATATTTTAATTTTTTTTTCGTTTTTTTTCGTGACATTTGGGGAGGGGTGCGTTGCCCCCTTGTATCCGCACCAGAATCCGGTTGATAAAACATTTTGTGCGTTTTCGAACTAGTTAGGTAGAATATTGTATTTAATTGTTGACTAGATTAACGTAACAAAACACGTAGTAAATTAATCCCTAGAAGGCGTTTAGCATTATTTGTGTTAGTATTGATAAGTATTCAAGTTTTAATCGCATTTCGCTGAGGTATCTGATGGATACGCGGTAATCTGTTTAAAAGTTGAATTGGTTATAACGTCGTTAGTAGGCAATCGTAAGGTTTGTGCCGCGACGCCAGTGTTTCGTTCGGTGCAATTTTTTTGCTTCTCACCACCAAGGGCGAATTTAGAGGGGGGTGATATGGGGGTTAGAACACCCCTCATCGACCATATTCTATGGTATTTCATCAAATTGCAAACTTACTTACAGTATAATTTGAATAAACGTTGTATACAACTTGTCGATTTTACACATAATAATTTATATAAATATGGTATTTATTTATGTAATATAGGAGGGGGGGCAGAGCCTCCCACTTACCATAAGTCTATTAAATTTTAAAACACCCCCGTTAAATGAATCCCGGATACGCCACTGCTCATCACCACTCATGTTTACCGTTCCGTTATCAATTCTTGATGTGACGGCGCGACGACGAGGTTTCTTTTTTCGAATTCCGGAGCAACAATAGCGCCCAAAAACAAAAACGATTCGGTTCTCCGCAAACGCTCGCGGCGGCCGTAACAAGCAATCGTAGACCAACGGTTTGCCGTCCGAGGTGGAGAGCGGAACGAAATCTTAAAAATTGACGAAGAAAACGGGTGTAGCGTGTGTTAAATGGATCACCCTGCTCTCCTTCCGCACGGGCACCACCGTCAATGCGACCAACAACGCCCCCGCCGAGCCTAGGACGAGACGGTGCCCCCCTTTCCCCCCCCCCCCCCCCGTTAGTGACGCGAAACGCGCACACGCCGAAACGTTTGTGCTGTCGTGATACCCGCGCACGCACGTGTGCGGGTGTACGTTTGGGCATGTGTGTATGTATCGGGTTGCGTGCGCGTGCGGGGGACGGCATGATCGCTGTGCGTGCGCGTGCGCGTGAGTACGATATTTCCGCACTCCGCCGAAAGCACCGCGGAACTTTTTTCAGTCGTACTTTGGGCGCCGTGCGCGATAAACGTACCGTGTGACGTGCCGTCCGCGCGGGTTCAGGGGACGGGGTCGCGTCGTGTTGTAATACCATCATTCGTTTCCGTTTTTAATATTCTTGTTCATCGGTGTTCATTTTCTCTGGTTTTTTTTTTTTCTATTCTCAAAACGTTTCTCGGCGCCTTGCGCACGTGCCCGGCCTAACAACCGACTAAACGCATGGGTTTTACGTGTCACGTGACCCAGCTCGTTGTGTAACTTGCGACGTTTGAACCAATAACGTACCGTAGTGCTCGGGATATCGTTATCTAAGCGACTCGTCCCCGTTCCCGCCGTCCGATTGTCACGGTTGGCCTCCATGAAGGTGTGAGATAAAATACGACTCGAACTTCGGTGACGACCGAACAAGACCGTGACCGCTTCACGTCACATGGATCGTCACACCGTCCGTCCGCTACCGCGGTACTACTGGTAAGCCGATATCGCAAACCATGTTCGTGGCCGCGTGGCTGTTGATGGCCGCGACGGCCGGCACCGCGGTGGCCAGCGAGTACCCGGAACGCGAGTGCTGCGATCCCGTCAACGTGCCGCCGGTGTCCATGTCCGCGACGCCCAACTACGCGTTAGCCGCTGCCGCTGCCGGTTACCAGACGGCCGCTACGTCTCCGTCGACCATCGCCCCCGTCGAGGGCCGCCGAGGTATGGACGAGTGTTTTTACCGAACCGTTTCCGGTACCGTAATCTTGTTGTATTTTGACCGCCGGACGTTTGATAATAAATATTAGATTGACCCAAAACATGTCTGTGACGGATAAAATCTGTATGAGTTGCATACGCGCGTTGTTTTTTTTCGTCGTCGGTGTGTGTACGTGTACTGTAGCGCTCGTAGATAATAATAAATCATGGGTATTATATTTATGTCAGTGTAGTTATTACTGGTTGGTTTTTCGTTTACCGCGGGAGCGTGTAAGTTCCAACAGCTAGGACAGGGTTAGGAAATTCGTATTCGTTGGAAAGAGCTGTTGTTGTTTTAATAATACGTTTTAAAACCATGATGTCCAATGAACCGGTTCAATGTGAACAATTTTTTTTTTTATAATCTGCTGACCACTGAGCTTGGATGTCTTAGTACTAACTACCCTCATTGTTACTCAAGTGTAAATTGTAGTCCCAAAAATAGATGATATATGGAAAAAGCTATTGTGATTTCTCGAATTCGTTTAATGAATTCTAAGAACGATGGACCTACTATTTCACATTAACAGTTCAACGTTATTTGTTTACAACGTATTGCTTCCCTTTAAATATATTTAATGATAAGTAAAAATATTTATTTTAAGTTTTAATGGACGAAAGTTCGCATATTCAATATTGTTAAAAAAAGCACAAAGGAAATAAAAATACTAAAATTAGTTTTATTAAATTTTAATTTTATTAAAGAGTATATAGGGCTGCCAAATGTTGATTTTAAATTTATTTATTTAAGTTTACGCTGGTATCTGCGTATTATTTGTTTATTTTGTTTTCGTTTCCATTGTATTATATATATTATTAATACTATATAATACCGATAAAATATTTATACCAAAGAAGTATTCGTTGGCAGCTAGTTGAAATATGTACTAGAATAAGTCACTGCAGTGCATATTTTAACTAATATATTGGGCTACATAATTATTGCCTAGTAAATATTTTTTATTGCCTGATCGATGATATCTTTAATTACTGGACGACAACAATATTTTGGCAAAAAATTAAGATATTTTTAATTATTTTATAATTTTATTTAGTAGTCATTTATTATGCTTGATTTTATTATTCGTTTATCATTTCATTTGACGATTTGAAGTTGAAACATTAATTATATTGATTATCAGAATATTTACAATAGAAAACCGATAAAAACCATACGATATTGTATTATATACAACATTACGAGTTTGGATGGTATGATGGTATTTCTAAGGTTTGAAAAACTTTTTAATACTGGTTTCTAACAATAACATTTTTTTTTCTTATAGGTTTTCTATAGTTTGTTTATGTTGATTTTATCTGTTTTGATTATATGCCTAGAAATTTTTTTGTCACCCAGAAAATATTCCTTAAAATATTCATTGTGTCACTATTGCCATCGTCGTAATCGTTATGAATACGGTTTGATTTGATTTGATACTTGCATAGGCGAAATAATACCAGAATAAATTGTGTCGTTATTTTGAACTTATAAGCGCGGAATAAACGTTGGTTTTTTTTGCTGTAGAAATTTAACAAACACACGTGGTTGCCGAGCGGCCATTGGGTTATAAAGTAAAAAATGGAATTAAAATAAAAACTTCAACTGCAGTTGAACCCGGCACGCAACTTTACATTTAACCGCCGTCGCCGTCGCCGTAGCACGCTAACATGAATCAATATCTCAGAGGGCATATAATATTATGACATCCGAAATTTTTTTCACTTGTGGCCTAAATATCGTCAAAAAATATTTTCCCACGGCATTTTTTATTTTAGCTAGTTTGATTTTACATATCTACAAATTTACAGTTGAAATACAATAGAAATATAGATGTAAAATATTCTAAGAGAACAGCGTGGTAATAATACGTTACAATGATAGTACGGATTGTATAACGTTTTGAAGTGGTTGCATTATGTTAAAAAAACCATTTGAATTAATATTTAATGAATGAGTAACTTACAGTGTACTGTTTTTAATCATAAGACAAAGAACTATGGCCGAAATTGAAAAAATAATATTTGTAGCTCAGTTTGGCAGTTCTTTTCAAATAAATTAAGTTTATGTTTAGATTATTTCATTTATTTTTCAAATTATAATATATTTAACGATTTAATTTATTTAATATAAATATATTTTATAAAAACCTATTTTATTATTTAATAATTAGTAGTGATGGAAATAAATAATAGTAGTAGTATTATAAACACGAAGAATGTATACTCAATATATATAATAAGATGTTATTAACCATTTTAATGACTGTTACCGATTTTTTTTCAAAATATTTTTATGACCTAGTGCCGTATTTCCTAGTTAGTACGTAAGTTCAGCAGTCATTTTTCAGGGGAAAATTTTTTTTAAAGCTCTCGTTATATATAGCTATTTGTCTAAAAAAATGAGAATTTTTGAGAAATTAGGCAGCTTATAAAAGTAAATTATGCTATGAAAACATAGCTTGTGATGTCGAGCATGTAACATCTAATGTTTTGGGAATAAATAGTACCTAGTATAAAACCATAATGTTTAATATCATCTATATATACAGTGGTATATTGTATACCACGCACACGGGAAGGGGTTTCTGGGTCTTAACTCCCCGTTCCAGAAAAAAAAAAAAAGGTTCAAAGTCATAAATGACTTGCTACGAAGGTACAGAGAAAGAGAATATTAATTTATATCATGTGGTTCTAATGCTTGTATAATAATAATATATTTATTGATTTATATCTTATTTGTATTTTTTTTATATTATAAATCACTTATTTTTTTAGAAAAGTTGGAAAGCCCTTTCACAAAAAAATTGAAAATACGCCACTGTATATAATAAATATACTATATATAGTATACCATGGTATATTACCATATATACATACGTGTACGGGTGATATGTAACGCTGATATTATACTATGTATTATTTATACATTATTTATTGTAATGTAAAATTATTCATAAAGATTTAGTGGAATCGTTTTCCTTTGAATGTCTTAAGGTACCGTAATATCTTCAATTTTTAAAAAGTTGAAAATTATGAAAATAATCTTTGAGTTGATGAATTATTTTGACTTTTTTAGCCGTAAATACTATTAATACTATTTCCAAACATTGATCAAACAATAAATTACTTTTTATGGATTATAGTATTCATTTAGTATTTTGAAAATTTGAAATTACTTAAGAACTTTCCATGTCAAGTTTAAAATTTGAAAATCTAATGTAGGGCCAAATCATTTCATTTTATACTATAATAAAGTTAGGACGACTTTATATCACTTTCAAAGAATTTCAAATTATTACATGTGAGTATATTTATGAATCCAGTAAATTTGTGCCTATCTTATAATTTTGCCAAAATCATTGTACATATTTTTAGGATTATTCGCAAAATAAATCTTTGAACCTGGATTAACTTTGAAAGTAAGACATCAGATAATTTAATTTGTAATTATAAATAAATGTTAACATAAAAATTAAAATAAGTAGATCCTATATTTTCAAATTATTTAAGAAGTAGAGAAGTAGTTTATAAGCACTTAACAATAAGTTCCTAATTAATCGAATACACAGTTACCTATTTTATCAAAATACAACGTTATTTTAAAAATATTCAGTTCATTAAAATTTTAAGTATAATAATACTTACTTGAGTATACTTTTATATTTTTAGATTTCTCCTAGATTTATATTTGCAATTATACATTATGAGTTGTGACTTTTGTTTTATATTGTTAGAAATACAATTTTTTTTAAATATTATATGTTTAAGTACTAATAATATTTATTTATGTTCATTTTTGATAAAATAAGTATGATAAAATATTTTATAATTTAAAATTTGAAGCATTCTCAGAAATAATTTACATGATATCGGTAAATAACCTAAAGGTTAGGTCAATTTTAAATAGTGTTTTTACTTAGCAAAGAAAATCAATTGATTAAAAGCGTCCATCGATTTATTAAACTCCATGTAATAGTATTTAGATGGTATGTATTTCTCATTTAAGGAAATTCTGTCAATTGCTATATACAAATATATTTTAAATGGTAAATTATAAGTATTTTTTGCATAACATTTCTAATATAAATTAATAATAAAAACCTAACAGGATAATTAAAAAAACATTAAAAAATTCTAGATAAAAATGGCTATTTATTAATTGATTTATGTAAATAAAAAACAGTTTAAAATAGTTTTCAACAGTAGTGTTAGTTAATATGGAGGTTTGAAATATGACTTATTTATATTTCTATTATATTTATTCGTATTGATTTATTTATAATGCATTATTTAATATTATACTTCTATATAATTTTCCGAATATAGATTTTAGGGTATATTGATATACGTGTAAGTGGACTGGGATCACGAAAATAGTTATATGTGAACCATTTTGATAAATTAAAGATTTATTATTTATAATTCATTTTTTCGATTATCAATTACTAAATATACTTATACTTAATAACATACCCAATATTTGATTAACAATTCAGTTATGGGTTTTTGGAATTTCGATAAGATTGAAATAAGTAAGTTTATTAGAGGCTCTAGGTTATTGAAACATCTAAAATAATTTAGTAAAATCAATTAAATTTTATAAAATTTTTTGTCAATATCTAAGAATTTATTGTTAATTTTAAGGAGAAATTAAAAGTGAATAATTATTAGAATTATTACGAATAAACTAAAAAACCAAATTTTTTTTTGAATTTTGCTGAATAAATTTACTAATCAAGAAATCAATTTACTTTTCATAGTCGATATTTTTCTTAAAATAGATATTGGGTACATAACTCTATGAATATTTTCGTTAAGAGCCACCTTAAAATTCAACATAAACATATAACCTACAATTATACGAATTTAGTTTTTATCAGGGTTGATAATATACGCGTATAAAACGTTTAATACGTTACACGTATAATACCCCACGTATAAAACGTATAAAATGACTAAAACGT